AGGAGCACTGGACAGGACTGGATGCAGCAGTTTGCCGATCTACGTGCCGATCTTGGAGATATTATGCAGCACGCCGCCCGATATCTTGGCATCGACCGTGACAACGACAACGACGACGACGATGACGACGACGATCATGAGGTGCAGCCGCCGAGGAGAGCGAGGCGGTAGTTTATCGGTCTTTTTTGCCAGTTATGTATTTTTATGAACTATTTAATTTTAAAGTTTATTTTTAATATTATTATGACTATGCATTTTTATTATTATTAGGAACTATTTAATTTAATAATTTATTTTTATTTTTATTATGAACTAATTATAATTTAATAATTTATTTGTATTTTAATTCACTAGTTTTATGATTTGAATTTAGAAACTACGTACAACTGAAGCAATTAAAGTACATATTTAAACAACCTTACAAATAACATTACAAATTTAATCATTCAAAAAACATAGGTTAAACATATAAAATGCAAAACACAACGTTACAAATTTAAATATTCCAAAACATAAGTTTGAATGCAAAATTAAAACAAATACAAATTTAAACATAAGTTAAACTTTCAAATACCCGGCAGATGGTTATGATTACCATTACTCACACTCAATCACCATAATCCATCCTCCGTTGATTTTTTGCCAATTAATCTGAACGGACAAGAACGTTTCTTTAATAGTACGTGTCGTCCAGATTGATATGTTGCACACGTTAAAACATGATGTTTTTCTGATTTAAAATGATTAATCAGTCGATGATTATGACTAATTGCTGTGTCTTTTGCCCACATGATTAACGCTTCTCTACTATCACACACAATACCACGTTCAAAGAAGTGACTATGATCGTGAGACTGTTCTCTTAGTTCCTGCATAAATATTTAAAATTAAAAGACAATATTTAAGGGATTTCGTAGAAAAACATACGAAATGTAGGCTACATTTCGTGTAAACACACGAAATAATAGCTTGCATTTCGTAGTGTTTACCACGAAATGGAAGCTTGAATTTCGTATGATTGTATACGAAACAAACAACAAACGATTTTAATACATATTTCGTATAGGATTACACGAAATGAAAGCATATATTTCGTGTGTTATAACACGAAATGTGTAAAAACGTTGGAAACGAACAAAAAACGTGTATTTTCACCTCAAAATCGAAGTCGTTGTCATCCATGTCGATAATACTTGTGCTCTAACTGATATTGGTCGAAAAATTACCAAAATTGATAAATTTTAAGAATAAAAGGTTGAGAGTGTTTGAGAGGGTATTTGGATAAGATTTGGAAAAGAAAAAAAAAATGAATTATTTTGCACTGCGAGTGGAAAAAACCGCACTGATAATAGCAAGCCCATATATATATATATATATATATATTAAAAGAAACTGGCAACGTGGTCATCATCATATTCCCATCTAAGACAGTCAGTACTCACTCCCTATTTCTGCACAACAAGACATTGCTTTTGTCAGTTATTAATACTTCCAAATCTATTACAACTAAATCACCTTTTCCTTTTTTCTTTCTTTTTCTTACTTTTATTAATCTCTAAATAAAAATAAATACCAAATATGGTTTTAAACTATCTTAGTTGGTGAAATACCAAATGTGGTTTTAAACTATTTACCAAATACAAATACAAATCGTTGTGTGTGTTATTATGTATACATCGATCAAAGATGTAAAACTACTTGATGTGTTTAATCAGGTATAGGTTCTACAATTTTGTCGTAGAAACTAAAAATAAAGAATTATTTTCTTATAGCCTCGTTTGGTCGGTAATTGGACTATATTTCATGTTCGGTAAATTTACTAAATTTTCGAGTCGACTAGGATATATATTATTTTATCATAATCTATCTGATTTATTAAAACGCATAGTTCAATAATACCATTGGATTTTCATTAGATTAATTTTATCTTAGATTCTTAAAGGATATTAATTAGTGAAAGCCCGGCCCGAAAGACTTTTAGACTCATTGGGTCAATTTTGAATGATGAACCCAAATAAAATAACACTGAAATAATCAAATTTTACAACTGGGCTACTTTACTAAACTTGAGCCCACAGATTCATCCATATTTCTTTTTGGTTTCATATTATATTCATTCTTTTTTTTGATAAGTATATTATATTCATTCTTTATAAATTATAATTAAATAATAAATAATTTCATTTATACAGTTGATATATATTGATTAACAACTTTTTAAATATGTCATGGTACATTGTATGATATATATAATCTGTTACAACAGTCACGATCACGTCATATAAAATAAATATTTTTTATTATTTTCTCTATTTTAAAACCATTTTCAATAAATAAATAAATAAATATTTTTTTTTATTTACAATTATATAGATATATAAAAACCTTTAAAATTTTCCATCTACTCTATTTCAGTATTTCTGCATTTCTATCTTCTTTAGTCAAAAGAAATTTTGTTGTCTTTCGTTTTCATCATTTTCTTGATTTCTTGAATTAAAAAAAGGAAAAAGAAAATGGACGACAAATCTCAAATCCCACACGGCGGTCTGACGGCGGAGGAACACGCGCAGCTGGAGCACGTCATCCGCACCCACCACCTGTTCGACGCATTGCCCAACACCTGCACATCCCTCATCACGCAGCGGATCGACGCGCCGGCGGAGTCGGTGTGGCCGCTGGTCCGCCGCTTCGACAACCCCCAGACCTACAAGCACTTCATCAAGAGCTGCCGCCTCGTCGGCGACGGCGGCGTGGGCAGCATCCGCGAGCTGACGGTGGTCTCCGGCCTCCCCGCCACCACCTCCACCGAGCGGCTGGAGATCCTCGACGACGAGCGCCACGTGCTCAGCTTCCGGGTCGTCGGCGGCGAGCACCGCCTGAGCAACTACCGGTCGGTGACATCGGTCAACGAGCTGGTCAAAGACGGCGGAAGAACAGTATACACGGTTGTGGTGGAATCGTATATTGTGGATATACCGGAGGGCAACACCGGGGAAGATACGAAAATGTTTACTGACACGGTGGTGAAACTGAATCTCCAGAAACTCGGTGTAGTGGCGGTAGCAAATTTGCATGGGCACGAATGAAATGAAATGAAATGAAAATTAAATCGAAATGAAAATTTGGTTTTGGGGGTGAATGTATTCAGTCATTCTTGATTGTTCGTCTCTTTGACCTTTGAGACTCGGCGAATCTGTAATAGTGGTACAAACTACAATGCCCAAGGTACAAACATCTTTAATAATGGTGATTATTAATTAGTGGTGGCGGTAATTTCTATTGATCATATAGTTTTAATTTTAGTGTTTCTTTTTAATTCGTTGCTGGTATTGAATTTCTTTAATAATTCATAATCGAATTTGATTTTATTTTTTATTTTTCATTATTCATTTTTAATTTACATAGATGATTGGTTAATCTTGGATAAGTGTACGTGGTCTTCATTAACAGTACTTTTTCCAGTGTTTAATTAATTTGATTATTCTGCATGTGGTGAATCTTGGAATTATAGCATTTTTTTGGGTGAGAGTGATGTGTTTGATTTCATCTTTTTGTGGGCTCAATTGAAATTGCATTTTTTTTACTCTAAATATATATATATGTACAATATATATAGATCATATATCACTTATATATGTATATATTTATGTATGATTATAACATGAACTATGTGAGTTTAATGTTATCAATTATGAAAAGGCATATATACCTTATCACCGTTCGTGTACTCCAATATAAATACAAAAAAGGTGCCGACTAATTCATTGCATGCACACGGACACACACACACACACACACACACACACACACACGCATTTGATGTGAAAAATCATGAAGCTTCACATACTTTCTTGTGCAAGTGTGCGTGTGTGTGTGTGTGTGAAAGATAGAAAGAGAGAAAGATAGCTATGGAACTTTGTGATTCAAAAATCACGAGCCTCTACTTTTGTGTGTGTGTGTGTGTGTAAAGGAGAGGAAAATAGAGGTTAAAGTGCATATATATATATATTATATGATACATGTATGTAAGTATTTATTTAATTTTATATAAATGTATATATATTAATTAAATATAGATATAGTGCAAGTTGGTGGTGAGCAAGTTGCAATAAACTTTAATGGGTGTGGCATCAAAATTAATGTCAACTCAATGGCAAAGAAAGAGATATGTATATGTAGAGAGACTTGTGAGTTTGCATTATGGATCATGTGACAATGAGAGGCCTCTTATCCACCATATATATATAATATTTTTTTAGTTTTTTTACTTTTTTTGCTCACAATTTTTTTCATCCAAAATATAATCCCTTTTGGGAATTATATATTCTCTCAATAAATCTCATCCAAACATCAACAATTTATTTGTGGGTGGATCTTCTATTTAATATTTTGATCATTATTATTTATTCTTTATGAACTTTTATCTATTGGTTCCTCGGTTTCCTATTTAATTGTTGATTTTTAGCTCTGCACAAAGATTAAAACTCTCACTAAACGTGTCTTAATTTTAGGGAAATATGTATTTTAAGACCAAAGTGAACTTGTATTGTACTAATTAATAAGAGACATGAATGAATTAAATAAAAATAATTAATAAGCATCTAAACAGGAAATTAAGTAATTAATGTAGTGTTTGAAATTTAGAGTGACAGATAATATGAAATAAGAATTTCTCAAAAGTAAGAATTTTACTAAATAACATCCATTAAAATTCGATTTATTCTCAAACTAACTTAAATTAAAATTAAATTAAAATATTGATGCCCCATTCCGTATGAGGTCATATACTTGCTCGTATTAATTGGCTACTATATATACCAAATGAATGACAACTTGTTTATAAACACTTGGTGAATAAATTGTTGCTGACGTAGTTTTCTCAAATCCCATGCATAATTGCGTAGGGATTAGGGAACGAGCCTTGACTTTATTTATTTTTATTTTCTGGAATCAGTTTATGTCAAAATAACGATATTTTTATAAATAGATTACGAGATTTTTTTCTTTTCTTAAAATAAATTGACCTTAAGCTGTAATTTGAAAAGCTTTATTTGAACCTTTTTTTTTTTATACAATTTAAGCTGATTTTTCAACGTATTTGCAAATACACAGACTTCTACGAACATTTAAAACCAACTAAACAACTCTCAATAACTAACTTCTGCTTAAAAATAAGTTTTTGCAAACATCATCTATGATAACCATCAAAATTCAATTTTCAATCAATTTTGGGTTGAAATTGTAAGGACAAAAACTTGTATGGGTTAAAAGTGAAATTGCTTTAATTTCATATAAGAATATTATTATTTTATTACATATCTTTTCTTGAAGTTGGATCCATTCAACTTATAAAATTTTGTTGGGTCATATTACGGCCCAACGCCCAAGTAATTAAGGAGGCCTTATAATATATATATGTGCAGTGGCATTATTGTAAATACATGCACGGAGATAAAAATTCTTCAAAGATCTATCCTTCAGATTCTTCAGGCATCTGTTTTTCTTTTTTAACAGAATGAATTAGATATTTTGTTCGAGAATCTCATTATTTCTGGATAGCCAGAAATAATGAAATGCGTGCTCTGTGTGTGTGTGTGTGTGTGTGTGTGTGTGTGTGTGAGAGAGAGAGAGAGAGAGAGAGAGAGAGAGAGAGAGAGAGAGAGAGTGTGGAAGTGCAGAATCAAAGAGTATACAATAATTTGCTCTATTTTCTTTTTATTGGTTTTATTATTCAACCAAATTTAACCACGCCTTCGATTCTTCGAGAAGCTTTCGACAATTTTAATTTCGATCCCGTTCGAAATCAAGAGAATTCAACGACAAATTCAGTTCCTTTTGCTTATTCCTTTGTTAACCATGCTTATAATAATGAAATCGTACCGGTACCGCCATTTGACTCGAACTCTAGATTTAGCAACATGTATTTGTCGCTAAGCCACGCCACTTCGGAACCTTCTATTTTACGTGCAAGTTAATTCCGTTCGCGACAATAGGCGCTTGGTAGTGTCGGATGATACAATGTGTTCTTGCACTAGTAGCGGGACCCACTCTTCGAGATTCGCCCAAGCCATGCAAGAAATACTCTCCGAATTTGCTTTTTATGCACTCGGAAATATCGAACCGATAATCTATCCATCGAACAATTCCTATAGTGGCGACCATCGAAACATCCACTCGTAAGAAAAGGAAGTTGTTATAGCAACGAAAAATTGTCTGCTGAATTTATTACAAGTGGTATATATAGTAATTAATATATATACATTTTATCTTATATATATATATATATATATTTATAATTTTTTTATTATTATTCATTTGTGTTTGAATCTTGATTTTTCACTAATATACAGGTCGACGAAAGATACAACCGATGCATGGAAGAAATACGGACGGTGACATCTGCACGCGTTTCATTTAGCGACAGAGTTGGATCCTAATTCGCGTGCTCGATTTGAACTCACAACGATATCTTTCGTGTAGAAAAATCTTAGAGAGAGAATCAACAGCAACATTCTTGAAACGGGATCACGTTTAATTAGTGAGAGAGAAGATAATTCTTTCGAGAAATGTTTTATTGCGAAGCAGTTGGCTGATCTACAGCAGATAATAAGAAATTGAGATGATCATCACTTGTGGAGGCCTCAAAGATGGCTTCCGGAAACTTCCGTCTCGGTTTTCAAATTTATTGTTTCAAATTTCGATTTCCCTATTTTTATTCATATATAATTAATTACTTAATAGATTATAATGAAGCATGTTAATAATGTGACATTATTGCTTTGATGATTTTTTTGTAAATATCTTATATAAGACCATGTTCGTTATTACAAGGTGTCGAATTGGTTCATAAATGCTCGTGTTCGTGTATGGGAACCGATGATAGAGGAAATGCATGCGCAGAAACGAACAGAAGAAAAGCGCGTCGAAGCAATAACGCAGAAACTCAGGGAAGCCATAGAACTCACATGCGTTTCGAGAATGGAAGATTAATTACAAGGTAATGACCATCGTGGGCGAATGTGTATGTATATACATATATGACACTGGCTTATCGAGAATTTCTCGATTTATATTCGGTGATGGGATATTAACTCCTCTTTGTTAAGATTCTAGCTCTGATTCTTGAATATGTAAATATCTTTTGTTCAAAGTAAAATTTGTGAAAATGGATTTACATTTGGCGGGGCGAAAGTTGGACAAATCAAATCGGAATTTTAGTGTTTTCTATGGGAAAAATCGATCATTTCCGTATGTAAAAAAGCAAAGCAAAATCGAAGTGTTGCCGTCTGCGCAACTTCCCATAGAGATCACCCATCTTGGTTCAGGCATTTGATCATTCACTCTGCATACACAAATTATTTTTTTTTCCAAAAGTGATTAATAACCTTTACATTTGAATTTACTCCAAGTAAACTAAATACTGTGGGCTGGCCCGGGCCGGAAAATGATCCCAAACCGATCCAAATCGTAGCGCGCCGCCCCAGTGTGCATCTTCTCGACGGCGCAGCAGGCTAGCCCAAAAGTCGTCGGCCATATGGATCCTCGTCGGGCTCAGTTCATGAGATCGTCGACCTTCGAACTCACGTACTCCCGGGGGCGGCGGGCTCACAGTGTGACCGGGGCCCCCGCCCCTCCAGGAATTTATCTATTAGCTTATGTACTTTAGCCCCCAAAGTTAAATTTGTATACGCTAATAGCCCATAATAATATTTTATGGCTTCTCTTAATTTACACCTATACTGTGTTAAAACTATTTATATGAATTTATTACTTAATTTTATATTAATTATATTTACAATAAAATTAAAAAAAGCTTGCGAGCTCACGAACAACTAAACATGAGCATGGACTCGACTCATCAGAAAGCTCGAACTAAAAAAATCGAGTTTTTACGAGCCAAGCTCACAAGTAGGCTCAGGTCATTTACCCCCATAATTTTAGCCATTTTAACAAATTATTCACTATGCGTGGGTGATTTTATAAAAAAATTACGAGTTTATGCGAATTTGACTAAATAATTGGGATGACATTGTAAATCATTGATCATTGAGATGCTGCATCAGGCGAAATATTTTCGAATAATTTTTAACTATTTGTTTTTAAATATCCACCGGGTGAAGAATAAAGTACAAACCGAAAATGAGACAAATAAATCTTATGTCCATTTATTTTCCACGTATATATTTTCCCATACAAATTACAAATATACCCAGTTGGTTAATTCAGAGTAGCCGACTATAAAAGCTCTCTCAATAGCAGCTCGATATCTATTTCTATCCAATTCTCAATCTAGGGTTTTTCACAACCCCCCATCTACGCTTCTGTATCAACCCAACAGATTCGATTCGCACTAATGGCTGACGAAGTACTGTACTCATCTGTAGGCGGAGGAGAGTCGAACAAACGGAAGTACGAAGATTCACCTTCGCCCGCGCGGCGGAGAACCACTGGGTTCTCGTCGGCGCCGGATTCGTCCGCGCCTCCGTCTGCGTACAACAACGTTCCTCCTCCGATGAACGAGATCGAGCTGGCGAAGCAGAAGGCTCAGGAGATCGCGGCGAGGCTTTTGAATAACTCCGATCCGTTGAAAAGAGCTAGGGTTGAGAACGGAGGAGGCGGTGACGGAGGATTTGATTCAAGCAATTACGGTAAGGGTTTATTCGGATTTTTTAATTTTTGATTGAACCCCGTTTTTTTAACTTTCAGTAAACACGGTATTCGACTTCTTGGCGTATACAATTACATTAAATCCCTGTAATTACTAAGAGTAGTGAGGTTTTGATGAATTTTTGCATCTATGTTATAAACATTTATGACAAGCACCAAGCATGTAACCATTGATGAACCTCTATATCATTACTATACTGGTCGGTATGTTGATTGCGAGCCTCGAAAAACGAAATGGCCAATGTGCAACAGCGAAGATTACTATGTTAAACCTTCGAAATAGATAGTGTGGTAGAACGAAAGATTATGTGCAAGATTATGTACGCCCATCTGTGATTAAATGTGTACATATTTAGGGCAGATTAGGTTTAGGTTTTAATTGTGTTAAGTATAACGAGACGTGCTAAACCTGTTTATACTTTGCTTGCATGCAGGTAGTCAGAAACCTATGGGTTTAGGTTTTAGTGCTGCACCGCAAGTTCCATCCTCTGGTTATCCGGGTCCAAGCAAAAAAATCGAGGTACCAAATGGCAGGGTCGGAGTGATAATTGGCAAAGGTGGGGAGACTATCAAATACCTCCAGCTACAGTCGGGGGCCAAGATTCAGGTCACTAGGGACATGGATGCAGACCCTAATTCTTCTACTAGAGGTGTTGATCTCATGGGTACTCCTGAACAAATAGCCAAGGCTGAGCAGCTGATCAATGATGTTCTTTCTGAGGTACGAAATTTAAGTTTCAATGCTAATCAATACCCTTGCCATGCATCTCTCTGAAGTTCTTTTACTTGTTCGTCATGGGTAGTATGCTTTTATTGAGTTAAATCTATAGATATTTTTAACCCCTCTGATGGTGTTGTATTCAGTTTAATGTGTTGTTCTTATATTAACTGTATGCTATTGTTCGGACAGGCTGAGGCAGGTGGTTCTGGCATAATTTCTCGACGGGTGACTGGGCAACCATCTGGATCAGAGCAGTTTGTGATGATGGTCGCCAACAATAAAGTAAAATATGTATTGGTTTAATTGACTATCTGGTGGTCATCTATCTACGTTGTTTTCACTTAGTTGATGACAATTTTCAGGTGGGGCTTGTTATCGGTAAAGGAGGTGAAACCATTAAAAATATGCAAGCAAGGACTGGAGCACGTATTCAGGTTGGACTCACTTTTTTCCTCGTCTATTCTGCTGTGTAGATTTCTGAAGAGTTCTGTCAATCGTGTTTTTCCTTGTTATGTTTGGTTACATTATTCTGTAAAAGTGATAGTCATTGCAGTTTTAAATAGAAAAACGTATTCCAATATTTCAGGTTATACCTCTGCACCTGCCACCTGGTGATACGTCAAAAGAAAGGACTGTACAAATTGATGGAACCAGTGAGCAAATTGAGGCCGCCAAACAGTTAGTGGAGGAAGTCACCAGTGAGGTTTGTTCAATTGTTGCACATGCTTGTTCATTTGTTCTTATCTGGTTTTAGCATAATTTTTTTGTCTGGATGAAAATTACTACGTGTTACTTCTATTGGGTTTGTTTGATTTCATGCAACATCTTATCTGTTCTGGAATATGTGCTGTTTCAGATGTTTTCTATTTTGTTTTGGTTACTATTCAATTTACGGAAATTGGTTCTTATACTTTGACATCCATTATTTTGAACTTGTAGCAATTAGGCTCCACATTAAGTTATAGCAATTTGGCACCCATTAAGATGTAATGATATACACTGGATTGACCCCATACTGTATTGACTTAACTGAACTGTTGATGTTATTTCATTTCTTACAGCTTCTTCCCATTGAGGTACTAATTTACTCTTTTCTCTTTAATCATTTTAGAACTTCTCATCCTTTTAGTTATTGGAACTTCTTCAGCATATTTTATTTCCCATTTAAAATGCAACAATTAAATTTGCAAACTGAGTTATTCTTGTTATCTCTCCTTTCCCAATCACTTTGTCGGTGGATTCCCTCTTTATAAAAACTGCAAATTTTTTCTTCCCCGATTTTGCCATTTTGTATATAGAGGCTTGCAGATATCTTTTGTCCCCACAGTCAAGCCAATCTCTTGATGGAGGAGTCCAATTTTTGCTGCTCCATTTCCGTGGCAGGGAGATCTGGTTTGATTTGAACTTTTTAACACAATTATGTCCCATTGCAGAATAGGTCTTAAATATCACAGTTATTTGTATATTTACGCGTATATAATCTTGGGTATATCTGCTCTTTTAAGGAATTGTGACTTAATGATCTTGCTGTTTTCCAAAATATTGTATTATATCATTTAAAATAATAATCCTGAATGTGTATTTGAAGAAGATATCACTCAAAGCAATTGTGAATTACAAAGATAATAGATATTTCATCATTTATTACGAGGTCATATATATTAATTTCTTGCCATCACTTGACATAATTTTGGTTAATTTAAATGATTACACATGTTATTATATTTGCAAGCTAAAGTTCATTTGTTATAATACCCTTCCTTGGATTTATCACTAATTTTGTTGTAGATTAGATAGATAGAGTGTGCCTTGTAAAAATGTTAAGTTGGATTCATCAGTTCACATGATAGAATCGGTGAGTGAAAAGTTTGTAAATTTTAACCTTAGTTGGTCGTAGAAAGAACAGGGTGACCCTTGACTTGATTCATCGGTTCATAACTTAAAATCCAAGTTATTCATAATATTTTTAACTGAGTCATTTTGCTTCATCCAATTCGAGTAACTTCAAAGTGTTAAGTCCAAGGGGGAGTGTTATAATATGTGAACTTTCGCTCATATGCCAATTTTAATGATGTGTGTGATTATTTAGATAAATGATGACCTAGATTGTGCCAATTGTATTGCGACAAGGAATTAATGTATACTATTACATGAAGAATAATAAAGATTTTATTATCATTTTGCTATAGACTTTCAGGTTTGCTTTTAGGATAAGCAGTTATGAGTTTATATTCTATTATTTAACATTGATTGGAGTCGTCTCGTTGTGCACTTGTCAACTTTGACCACCTTCTTTTCTTTCAATATATTGGAATTTCTCTCTCGTACAAGTATATTCTTATCATGTTAAATGTCCATCTGGCGATTAATTAATGATATCAAGTGGAAGGGAAGTAGTATGAATATAATTTTGTTATATTAGGACCCTTTTTATGCTATATTTTCCACTTCAAGATTTTGAATCTTTTGAATCCTTTCGGTATCACTATTAGACTATAGGTGTTTACAGTTTTAAATAATGGACTCGTATCCAATTTTTTGCCTGCAAATTTTGATGCGACAGCTAGTTATTGGTTTGGGTGGATGGATGGAGAATATTATGGTCGGGACATGGTACATTTGCATATGATGGATCTCTAGTCTTGTTTTTATTGCTATAGTTGTCTAGTCTTTGCAATTTTCTTTTTGTACCCATGCCACTTCGAATAGGGAGAGGATGTTGCTTCGGCAGGAGTAATCCGGTAATACGACCCAACAATAACGGTATGTAGGCGTCTAATCTTTGTCTTGATGCAATGCTATATGTATTGTTGTATAGTTGTGCTTATTAGGATTTATATGTTAGGTGTATCTTGTATCTCTTACTCATCTGTATTATATTTTTTTTGATATGTGGATCATGTTGTATGTAAATCGAAATATATCAGTTAGTAGTAGTTCCTGGTTCATTTTTGTCATAATAATTGTTGCAGAATCGTCCTAGAAATCAATCTATGTCTGGAGGATATTCTCAGCAAGGCTATCAAGCTAGACCACCTACCAACTGGGCCCCGCAAGGGCCACCTCAGCAATCCGGATATGGATACACCCAACCCGGTGCATACCCTACCCAGCCACCCCAGTACAACATGAACCAGCCCCCCTACTCTGGTTACCCCCCTCAACCACCCACCTCTGGTGGGTACCCCACCACGTGGGACCCATCAGCCGCTCCTCAGCAAAATCAGCAAGCTCCTCAGGCGGGTGCTTATGATTACTACAACCAACAGCAACAACAGCAAACTGCTCCAGCAGATGGTTCTTCTGGATATGGTTATGGTCAGGCACAAGCCTACAACCAAGGCTATGGCCAGGATGGATATGGCGGTTATCAATCCGGTTATAATCAGCCGCCATCCAATCCCGCTTCAGGATATGATAACCAGCAGGGATATAATTCTTCTGCCTATGGTAGTAGTGGTGTATCCAACCCAACACCCGATTCGCAGCACTCAGCAGCAGCTTCGTATGGAGCACAGGGTGAAGCTGTCCCTAGTCAGAATTATCCACCGCAAGCTACTTCACAGACTGGTTATGGTGCACCTCCGCCCCAAAAGCCGCCTGCGTATGCTCAGCCTCAACAGTCGCCTAGTGCTGCTCAAGGTGGTGGTGGCGGCTATGCTCAGCCTGGTTATGCTCATTCGCAGACGGGCTATGCACAGCCGGATTCTGGTGCTCAAAGACCGCCATCTTCAGGTTATCAGCAAGGGTATGTGGCACCACCTTACGGTGGTCCACCACCGCCTTCTCAGCCTAGCTATGGGCAACAGCAGCCTCCTTCGTATGGCGGTTATGGTGGTGGATATTCTCAGCCGCCAGCTTACTCAGCCGATGGTGCTGCTGCCGGTGGTAATGCGCATGGTAGTTATGATGCAACTCCGCCGCCACAATCTGCGCAGTCTGGTGGTCCTGCCAAAGCTTCGCCCCCTAGTTGATTAGTGGTTTGGTATTTCGTATTACTGTGTGGTAGTACAGCTGTTGCTGTTTGCTGTAGGCTTGTTTTAGTATTTTGGGTATTTTAGTTTTGGGATATGGAATCTGTTTGTTCGGTAACTCCTGTTACGTTTTTTGCTGTAGTTTGATTTTTGCTTTTTGTTGTACTTTCTGTTTCGATTTTCTTATGCTTGGGGGCCTCGTAATTCTGGTGTTGTATGGCATTTCATATCGTATGGTGATTAGATTCTTATCTTCGAACATTAGTGTAAGGTTTTTAATAAATTTCTCATACATGTGGAGAATGTTCTTGGATTCATGCGATAGCCATTTCTATTTATGGGGGAATCCATACTTAATTGTATTTGTACGAGTTAGAAAATTCAACAAATTTAAACAATGTATTCGGTACCCCTAGTCCAAAATGCCACACGATAAGGAATATGTATTGAACTGCTGCTATTATTTTATAACATTTCACCAATAAACATATAATGCATCAATACTAAATTGAACACTGCATTTGCTTTTTCTATATTTTCCTCCATTATATCTTCTATCAGATTATCGAACCAACTCTCAAATACAACATCTCCAGAAGAAAACAAAGAAAAAGAAAAAAAACAGAGAAAAAAAACCAACAATTTTCACCAGAAATAAACAAGCGCTTGCACGAAGGATTATGCCCCCTCCCTATCTCTATTCTACATTTCATCAAAAGTGTAATCTGCAAAAGCATTTTTTAAAAGGGCTCTATAGTATAACAGTGTCGATACTCATCTTAAGAGTAATCTGTCTTTTTTCATATAACGTACTTCCTCAATGCCGATGCAGCTTTTAGTGATAAAAGCAGAAAGAATGCCACGATCGAACCGAAAAATATCTTGACAACATAACCTAATAAGTCATTGTCGGTTTCTTCGGAGGTGGTAGTATCAGAGGGGTTAGATATTGCCAGTGCTGAAGGCAATGCTTCAATTACTGCATCAGCCATATCAGCTATGAAAGACGAAGTGCAGTTTAGAGCAGGGACACGGCCCCAATTAACAATTCCCGACTCAAGTGCCAATTCTCTGTACTCCATGTCAATCTCTTCTAGTGTCTCTATGTGCTCGCTCACAAAGCTGAAAATTCAGAAGTTATCGTGTCTTTAGTTTATATACATGGAAAAGTTCATATGTATTACAAATTTTGAACCAAAAATGTAAGAAAGGATTCCGTTGTGCCTTTAAATGTCATCTTTATGACCAACAGACGTGGAAAAAAAAATCGCAAGTGAAAAACTATTTCCAATTCCGTTCGGAAAAAAACTATAATATAATTGGGAAATTTCGGATAGGAATTGGCGGGGTTTCGAAATTTCCATTTTACTAGTCACCTATAATATAAAATACATAACAATATTGATGTTGAAAGAATCAAAAATATTTTTAGAACTAGAAGTGGAATCTATTATCTATGTATTCCAATTACGTACCACAAAAATCCAGAAAAATCGGAATAATATTTCAAATCCGAAAATTATCGGATCGGAATAGGTGGAGTTTTGAAATTCGCTAATTTTGATATCTCATTGGCAAGGTAAAACAATCTATATTCGTGGATCTTGAAGGAAGGAGAATAGGCAGTAAAGGGCAAAATGTGCATCTGCGCGTGTGTGTGTGAGACAGAGAGAGAGATAGAAAGAGAGAGGGACTGTATGTCCTAGAAGCATACCTCACTGGAACAGCGAGGAGAGACTTCACCCCTTGACGGCCAAGCTCAACAAGAACTTCATCGGTGTACGGCTTTAACCATTGCACGGGTCCCACACGGCTCTGGTACACATAATTTAAAAAAAAAATAACTTAGAACCACTACCAAGTGATGCAAATACTTAGCAACACATCTCTCATTTATCTTCTAACAACGGAAAAAAATAAAACAGAAGCGCCCGATAACTATAACCAACCTGGTAAGCCAAAGTGTGATCATTGTTAACTCCTCTTGATTTAAGTTCTTGCATTATTAAAAAAATACAATCTTCCATCTGATCTCTATACGGGTCACCTGCATTCTCTACATAACTGACAGGAACTCCATGCGCGCTAAAGAATATCATGGTCTGAAAACCAAACAAGAAGTAATCATTACATCAACAGTAACAAAAATCAAATCATAGAGATAAAATATACTTCATAATTCATATCGAGCATCAAATAAGGAATTAGTAACCCACCTCTTGTGGGGTTGGGAGAGTTTCTAACTCCTTTTCGATTAAGTCAGCCATAGAGTTAATATAGCCTTGCCGTTGATACCATGACTGTATGATAGCAACAGGTAGTTTTGACAAAGATGCGTCACTCCTGAAAATGAACCCAAATTTAATATTAGCATATTAAATAAAATAAAAGAAAGAGGAAAGTGAAATTAGTGATAGAGAAATGAATCCAATTGAAATTTTACCTAAACATGTCTCGAAGGACATTGATGCTCGATCCAGTGGTTGAGATAGAATATTGAGGGTAAAGTGGCAATACTACAAGCCTTGTAATCCCGTCTCTCTTAATCTATAATTAAAAAAACCGAGAAACGAGATTGGTTCAAAATTCTTTAATGACAAAGCAATAAAAACAATTCTCCAAATTAATTAAGTAAAAACTTCGTTTCATTCTTATGAATTACCTGATGAACTGCTTCCTCGGTGAATGGGTGCCAATAACGCATTGCCACATAGACGCTAGCTGTAACTTCCTTAGCTTCCAGAGCCAATTTTATTGCATTTGCCTAAAGAGAAAGCAATCAAATGAATGTTAGCCCATGAAATAACCACCGTAAAATAATTAACAAATTAATGCAATTAAAACAACGAATACCTGCTCGTTTGTTATTTTACGCAGAGGTGAACCGCCTCCAATGGCAGCATAGCCTTCTTTACTTTTGGGAGCTCGCAAAGTCGAAATCAGCTGTGCTAAGGGGCGTTGAAGGAACCGGAACATCCTAGGAAGCCGGATAATATCCTGGAAAAATGATAATTAATAATTATTAATCTGCAAAATTTATAATAACACTAACTATATCCTATAATATGAATTAGTGGGACAAAACATACGGGATCAGCAAACAAATTGAACAAGAAAGGCTGAACATCTTGCAGCGTATCGGGCCCTCCAAGATTCAAAAGAATCACTCCTATTTTTTCCTCTGCCGTATGGGAAATTGATTCAATAACACCACTTGGATAATTGCATACTCCAGTCGAGGCAAATGTTCTACCAACAAAGTCCTTTTGCACCGAACAGTTTAGAGACAGTCCTCTCGCAATACTTTTTGTCTTGTTGTTTGAATTCGAACGCACAGAAATTTTAGATGCATTAAACAAAGTTGACATCGATTTAGATTCACGGAACCTGCAAAACATATGGAAATTATAAGACTAAATCCACCAAAATGTTTTTGTTTATGCAAATGAATACCATGTTTCATAACGGGTTAATTTTCAGCTTAATTAAATCTACCTTAGTCTAGCACTTTCCTACTTCAATCATACATAAATTCATCGGTTATCGAAACGAAATTATTCTCTAAAATCCACAAAAATGCAAACAAAAAAAAAAAATCAACCACCACCCTAACAAAATTCCCCAAAAAAAATGCAATTTTGATTTTTGAAACCATTGAGCCGATTAGATTCCTGCCTCTGAAACACACACACACACACACACAAAGAACAAAAGGAACCGTGATCCAGTTCAGATATGCAATGAAAAACGGTTACTGCATAATAAACCCCTATGGCGATTACTTTGACGAGCTTAATGAAGCATATAAACAAACAGATAGCATACATAATCACAAACAATAAAGAAAAACAAAGAAGCGAAAAATTGATCTTACGATGCCGAATTCTGATTAAAATTAATCTGGGAAACAATTCGCGAGCCCGCTGCGGCCTCCATCTCGTAGAGCTTTCAAAAATTCCAAACTCAATATCTTAATTAATCAATCAATACTAAAATAAAAAATAAAAAAGACTGAAGAATTGGAGATTTGGGGAGATTTTTCTTGTATGAGAATAAAACTATTTTAAAGGGTTTTGTGCTTGAGAGAGATTCTGTAAATGGAAAGAGAAGGAATAATAAATAATAAATTAATAATAAAATAAAGAGTTTGGTCAAAAAGGTAGACGTGTTCAGCAGTGGAGGCTTGGGACTTTTTCAACTCAGCTGCTCCTTTCATGTAACCAAACACCCCCTCACCTAATTCTCTGTTTATTGACTTGTAACCTAATTTAATATTTAATAATTGTTATAAATTCAATTTCAATTTGTAGAAAAAAATTAATAATAATTGATAATAGTGGTTGAATACATTATTAGTTTAATTCATAAAAAAAAAAAAAGAATACATTATTAGTTTAAACCTACCGACTCAATGTAGTAGTAGTAGTAAAACTAATGCTCAAATTTGGTTTCGGTTTTCAGTTTTCGGATTCAGTTGATTTTGATTTCAGTTTTCGGTTTTCGATTTTCGGTTCCGGTTTCTCATATATAAGAAAAATGTCCTTTCGGTTATGGTTTTCAATATCAATTTCGTTCTAAACTTTAAAAAAAGAATAAAAAAATCATAAAATTTTGAATTAGAATCGACTAAGTTTCGAAAATGTCGTTCCGATTTTGATTTCCACTTCGAAATCACATTAGATTAACAAGAAAGAGAAACCGGCCTATGTTCAAACTCCGTGAAATACAAATAGTGGGAGTGTTTATTATTATTTTGTGGTCAATAAATTGATGGTTGCGGCTATATGCAATACTCATTCCACTTGTGCAAGACCAAATTAAAGGAAGATTTCAAAAGATTCTATTTTATTAAGATGGAATGACAAGTATGCCCATAAATTAAATTGGCTTTTTTTTCTCATGTAAGACCAAATACAAATAATGAGAAAAAAACAAAAATCGACACCAAGGTGTCGAAAAACTATGCTACAAATCGACACTTAAGCGTCGAATTTCATAGGTAAAAATCGACATTGACATGTCGAATTTATAGCACAAATTCAAATGTCGAATTTTATACCTCAAAATCGACATCTAAATGTCGATTTTTACCTGTTAAATTCGACCTGTACATGTCGAATTCGTTTGCGCGGGATTTTTTTTGGAAAATCGATATTCTAGCTAAAAAAACCCATATATGCATACATTATTGGGTTCTTCCATCGTAGAATCTTCTATTTTGATGTCTTCTGACTCCATACTTGCCATCTTTGTAAGATTTGTTGAGTTTTGATGATTTTGAATTTCTAGGTTTTGTGGGTTAATGGAGGAGGAAGGAGAAAGGTCTTGTGGGTTTTGGAAGATGGAGAAGATGAGAGTTGGTCTTGTGGTTTTGTGGTCTTGTGATAGGGTTTTTTGTGTTTTTGAATTTTTGGTCTTGCATATTTGGAATTTTTTATTTTTTAATAAATAAGGGTATTATAGTATTTATACATTGAAAATTTTAATTTGGTCTTGCACAAGTGGAATTAGTCTTGCATATAGCCGCAGCCTAAATTGATATAGATAATCCCAAATTCTAAATTGTACGTGTACTGCTATTTGCGTCACAAACAAACGTCAGAATGCCTGAGTTTGGTCTCGTCGAAAACCGTCCGACATCGAATCAACCTTCAAATCAAGAGAAAAACTCTAAAGAAGCTTCAAAAAATGTGATTAATAAAAAAAAATCAAGAGTTACCTCTAAATTTTAAGATTTAAAAGTAATTATACTCTTTACTAAATTAATGTGGGCTTGAGTTAACTAGATTTGATTAGCCTAAGTGGGCTGGCCTCCATTAATAAGGAATTTGGGCTTCATCTTATAGTTCTTTCAGCTAGAGCCAATCAAATTGCATTTTTAAATTAAATAATAAAAATACCAAAAAATAATCCAACATTAAAATTAGTAGAAACAAAATTGAAATAATTAAACTAGGAAATGAATTAAATCTCTGCACTTTTATGTGTGTAATAACTAAATAAATAATTTCTTATAAAAAAAAATAAAAAAAATAAATAATTGAGTGATAATAAAGCTTCTAGAAACCAGTGATGTGGTTCGAAATAGAATTACGACAAACTAGAGTCCTTCATATGTAAATACCCATAAAAGTTTAAAGTTTCAGTTCAGCCCTAGGGTTCCCATTTCCACTATATATACCTCCATCTCCACGCTTATTATTCACCACTCTATTTCACAGTCTATATCCATGGCGGCCGCGTTTATCTTCTGCATAAATTAAACAGTAAATTCCGGTGTAATTTCGATCTAATCTTCTTCGATCTCATCTTTTAATTTGATTTTAATTTATAAATCATAATATTAGGGTTTGTGTTTGGGAATATTCGTATCACGGCTCCATTTCGAGTCAGCAGCAGGTGCCCATTTCCTATGGCAACCCGTCTGCCGCTTGGAGCCCATACTATTCGACCCGTTTGAAGATCCGCGAAATTCGATTTCTGTAGTTTCGTGACACAATAAATTGGTTAAATTTTTGATTATTTATCACAGATTTTTCTTTTTCTTTCTGTTTTTATTTTATTTTAATTATTATATATATAAATATAAATATAAAAAATGGAAGGCATTTAAGTCAGACACGGGGATTTCGTATTAATTTACAAGAGAAATCACCTTTTGCAATGTGCCAATAAGAAGCTGCTTATCACGATTGGAGGAAGTTTTACTGATTGATATTTGCTTTTCTTCAAATTAATAGTAGCTATATTTATATTAAATTAAAATATATTCATTAAGTATTATATAAATAAATAAATAATTTGAATTGTTCTGAATTGCGATGATGAGGTGCTAACACGTAAGTGTAACCAACTATGTGGTGGTTACTCGATGAAATCTTCTTGTTACGCTTGGCTTCTGAGCTTTTTACAATCTGCTTTTAATTTTTTTAATTCTTAATTTTTCAAAAAAAAAATGATTTTATTGATATGTATTCGAATACCTGAATTGGATTTATTTTATTTAATTTTTTGTAATTATTAAATAAGATTATATGTATGACGAAATTCCTTTAGAGTATCATCATAATAATTTTATTTTTACATGTAAGATATTCTTATTATTATTTATATATTATTTTACGTCATAAAAAAACTAACGTTTAAAGATGTGTAGACATTTAAATAGATATTCATTATTTAACCATTTGAATTAAAATATGGACCCAATGTAAAAATATTATTTGTATAGTTTTAAATATTATTGAGAGAGTCAATTGCAAGGTGAGGGAAACATGATTTGAATTGTAAACATCTACTCTAATAGTAGAGATTATGTACCGACTCAATTAATTCAATTGTAATTCTATATTCATTTCTTTATGAAAATCACACTTGTAATTGGATAAGCTAGTTCAATAATAAATCGAACTCTTCAATGTATAAGTAAATCAAGATTTTGAAGAACATATGTCTCGTGAAATACATCAAATTATGGTTTGACACTATTGATTTACACAAATTACATACACCAGTAACTATGTATGTTTAGTGGGTAGTTGTTTATGTAAATTTATGGATTAAAATCACATGGTGTAGGATTTCTTACGCTGTAGTTGTAAACTTGGATAGCTGTTGCAACGCATTTGTAATTTCATTGTGAATAAACGTGTCGCTCAAGAAACTCTCGATGAGTGGACGATGCTAAATTGATACACCATCATCAGCCGATTCAATTTGAAGACTACAACTACGTCGGCGAAAACTTCCACATAACATGTTGAAGGCTATAATGTTGGTTGTCCATTATTCCCCGAGTACGAAAGATTTGGAGACCGCATAATAGTTCGTGATTGTGAAGGTCGATCGGTGTTTTGCGAAAACCTAGTCTTTTGATGCTTCGGCGGTTTCTGCTATTAGTGTCTCATTTTTATCATTCGATGTGTATAATGTATCTCTTATGATCCATGAAGTATTCCATTGTTATAACTATTTTTATAAACTGAAATGTTAAATGTCGTTTTAGTTCTACTAATGTCGTTTTGACTTCAAACCTGATTTTATCCATGAAGTATTCTATTGTTATAATTATTTTATCCCATAAATAAATTACGAATACTTTTTCCAGACAAAATAAAGTTTTGTTGTTTAAAAATTATACTTGCATCTACTATTTGTACAAAATATTAGTTTATATTCATATTAAAAGAATCATTTATTTTGTTTATACGACTCTTTATGATATACATGTACACTATAATATTTTTATTTTATTTTTTTAATAATCTTATAATAATATTTAAAGAACTAATATATTTAAGAATTAGTTCAATGATTAAAGCTCAAACCATACTAAAAAGGTACAACTAATTAAGCACACTGCACAAACCGCATGATAAAGCAAATATATAAGTGTCTCTGTTTCCCCCTTTTTAAATATCATCATCAAATTGATCCCAAATCAATTCAATTAATTTCCCGTATTAATAACTTTCTTCTCACCGGTGACGATGATTCGCTACGCCGCTGGTACATTCTTCTTCCTTGCACTCTCCATCCTGACCGTCGCCAATGGCCGGGATTTGATCAAGCTTCCTTCCGAAGCTCGCCGATTCTTCGCCGGATCAGAGGAGGCCAACGATGAAGCCGGCGATGATTCCGTCGGAACCAGATGGGCTGTCTTATTGGCTGGATCAAGCGGTTACTGGAATTACCGACACCAGGTTACGAATTATCACCAATTTTCCAACTTTTGTAAATTCGAATTTATCAGCTTTTTTTTTTTTTTTTTTTTGAATTTGTTTGCCTGGTAATTTTGTTGTTTTTTGAAATTATCAGCTTTTCAAATATTGTATTTTCATTATGTTGATGAGTATATTGCAGGTTTAGTATCAATATGTGTTCCTATCAGCTGATTTTTTATGCTGTAATCTTCTAAAAATTAAAATTGTAGTATAATAAGGTTGTAATTATGTAATAGGCTGATGTATGCCACGCGTATCAAATCCTCAAACGAGGCGGTCTCAGAGATGAAAACATTGTCGTTTTCATGTACGATGACATTGCTAACAACGAAGAAAATCCGAGGCCCGGAGTCATCATCAACAGTCCACATGGCGAGGATGTATATAAGGGGGTTCCGAAGGTTTTTTGTTGTCAAATCCCTTGGTTAACTTGACTTGAAACTGCATTTTTTGCTGAGTTTTCGTTGAACAGGATTACGTTGGAGATGATGTTACCGTGGACAACTTTTTCGCGGTTCTCCTTGGAAACAAAACGGCAGTTAAAGGAGGTAGCGGGAAAGTCGTAGACAGCGGCCCGAACGATCATATATTCGTGTACTATTCTGATCATGGTGGTCCCGGGGTGCTCGGTCAGTAACTTCCTTAGTGACATTATCTATATTTAAATTCCTTCTGTTCATTATTCTACGAATGCTGTCTATTTTCAAGTTGGTGCTAGTATGCGTTCGTTTGTGATTGTTATAGTTTCATAATTAGATTGCAAATTTGCAAGAATATTAGTTCAACATTTTTCGTCAGCATTTGCCACTAGTATCTCGAGTTTATCGTCTCGCGGTTCTTGATACTATCTAAACTGAATTACTTAGTCATAACATTGTTATATATATTCAGGTATGCCTACCAGTCCTTACCTTTATGCGAATGATCTGATAGATGTTTTGAAGACAAAGCATGCGTCTGGGACGTATAAGAGCTTGGTAAATCAGTTGTCGCCTTTCAGCTCATGAGTGAAATTACAATCTGTCGAGCAATATCTCATATTATTGCAAACCTATATATATATTTTTAGGTATTCTACCTTGAAGCTTGTGAGTCTGGAAGTATATTTGAAGGTCTTCTTCCCGAAGGCTTAAATATATATGCAACGACTGCATCAAATGCAGAAGAGAGTAGCTGGGGAACTTACTGCCCAGGAGATAATCCTAGTCCTCCACCTGAATATGAAACCTGCTTAGGTGACCTGTACAGTGTTGCCTGGATGGAAGACAGGTATGCATTAATCTGCTGGTGTTGAATGGTGATTGTTACTTACGCGAATCTCAAGTTATTCGTTATTCTTCAGGCAAATCTTTCTTACAATTTTGACCAAATGAGTCGCCTGTTGAAATTTGTCTGATCACCGGTCTAAGATTATTACCTGAAGGCTTCATTTGTTTGGGAAGATATACCATTAATTAGTTTAATATTTGGGCTTTATTTGGTGTTTGGTTAGTTCAATAACTCTTGAGCCGTCCCAATTTTTTTCTCTAATCCTTTATTTAAGCTCGTCAGGGAATTTTGTATGAGCGTAAATAAGATTGCAAATAGCTACTTAACTGCAGTTTTATATCTAGTTTTGATTAAATACCTTTTGTTTTATCGCTGCTAATTAAGTTTCTTCATTGCCATTCTAACAGTGATGTACACAACCTTCGGACTGAAACTTTGAGGCAACAATATCAGCTGGTAAGATCTTTATTAAATCATCTCTTTGTATTGAGTAGTCTGTCAGAAACCAGACCCTTAGCTTGAAATTCAACAATATGTGTCTTGCTTCATTTTAGACTTGCCATTCTAAGTCTTGATTGAAAACAAATCCTAAAACTCCCGTTTTTAATCTAATTCATACTTCGGGAATGAATGTATGACGTTGGCTTTTGCAGGTCAAGCAGAGAACCGCTAATCAGAATTCTTATTACGGCTCCCATGTCATGCAATTTGGTGATCTGAAGCTAAGTGTCGATAACCTTTTCATGTATATGGGTACAAATCCTGCAAACGATAATTTTACTTATGCGGTTAGCAACTCTCTGCGGCCGTCTTCAAAAACTGTTAATCAACGAGACGCTGATCTCATACATTTTTGGGATAAGGTATGTTGAGCCCTTATTTCTAAATAAATTATTCTGCGCTTTATCTAAATAAATTAGCAAAAAATAGATCAGTCAAATCAATTTGATTGGTTATATATTAGTACATTTAATCCCTTTTTTTTTGGGTCACACTTATCACACACACACACACACCACGCATATGTATATATGTTATATATATATATATGTTGATGAATGCATTTCTTGATACTTCGTGGCAGTTCCGTAAGGCCCCTCAAGGCTCTACTAGGAAATATGAAGCTCAAAAGGACCTCGCCGAAGCTATGGCCCACCGAACTCACATCGACAACAGTATTAAACTTATTGGAAAACTCCTCTTTGGATTTCAGAAAGGCCCTCAAGTGCTGAAAACCGTTCGACCTGCTGGAAAACCTCTTGTTGATGACTGGACCTGCCTTAAATCTCTGGTAACATAACATTCAATTTTTTTTTAATTTTTAAGGTGAATTATTTACCATAAATTTCCGTGTCGAAGAAAATAACATGCACCTTAACTTCTGCTAAACAGGTAAGAACATTCGAAACTCATTGCGGTTCTCTTTCCCAATACGGAATGAAACATATGCGCTCGATCGCCAATATATGCAACGCAGGCGTAAGTATAGAACAAATGGCTGAGGTATCTGCCCAAGCCTGCACTAGTTTCCCTTCCAGTTCTTGGAGCTCTCTCCACAGAGGCTTCAGCGCTTAATATTTGTGGTAAATAAAAAAATTCCGTTATGGAGAGTATCGAGTTTCGACTCGTTTCTATATATCTTGGATTGTTGGCCTTTAATATAGGCTCCTATTTAACAACTGCTTCAGTGTACAGTTCAGAAGCAAATTTCTGTTTAATTGGTTTATTTTATCTGTATATAATAATGTACTGAGTTTCTTATAGTTCTTGTTTATATTTTTTACTTGATCCAACTATTTGTATATATCTTCAACATGTTTATTATTATTTTTATTTTTTTATTTATATTTTAAACCTGTTTTTTAACGACATATTTACTAACATCCAAAATTTTAATTATTAATTAATCAATTATTTCAAATTTTAATAAATAAATAAAAACATTTACTTTTTTCAGAAACTTGGGCAAGCACCACTTATATATATAAATATAATATAAGTGTAATTATATTGAAGATATTAATATTAAATAATGTGTTTTACTAACAATTTAAACTTTTAATTGAGGTGGTTATTCAACATGGTATCAAAGCGGAGTTTAGTGAATCCAACTAATTCAGGTCGAGCTTTTGGGTCTATTGACCCAAGTTCGAATCCCCTTGCCAACGGTCGCTAGGTCGAGCTTGTCACACATGGTTAGCCTAGTGTGGTTTACATCTCTCGTATGGTTTGCAAGCTATTATACGAGAGTGTAGGTTTACCCAGTGCACCTATATGGTTGGCTGCGGGTTCCTGCATTATCAAAAAAAAAAAAACTAATTCAGGAAGTTATCCATATCAATCTTCTAATCGAATTTAAAAATATATATTTGAGTTTAATTTGATACTTAGAATCAAACTTTCATAATAATGTAGTATGACATGTAAAAGAATACCAAACCTGCAGTTTTCAAATTTCCAATTATTTATTTTTTCATATAGTTATTTAAATTTCCTATTTCAATTTTATTCATATATAAAAATGTTACAAATGAGAGAGTTATTTAAATTTCAAAGGCCATTACATCAACCGGGGGAAAAAATAAGAAAAAAAGATTCCGTCACAGTACTTAACGCCGTGAATTGAAATCCGGTCTTTATGTGGGGCAAGAGAAACGCCGGCTTAAACAGCTAACACGAGAACCTTTTTGGACCGTCGATTACCTTTACCTTTTAACGGTTGCAGATTGAAAATGAAAAAAAAATGGAGGTACAAATAGTGGTCCGAAGAGTAGAAGAGAGTTATTTCGTATTTTCTTTCAATTCATCGTTCACAAGAAAAACACGAACAAATCCCCCTCTCTCTCTCTCTCTCTCTCTCTCTCTCTCTCTCTCTCTCTCTCTCATCATCTCTCTTTCTCTCTCATAATTTTGAGAAATTGATAAGAAGAAACAGAAACCAGTAACATTTGGTGAGTGGAAACATGATAGAATCGGAAATTTTCAAACGATATCGACCTCTTCTTTCTTCAGGAAAACTCTTAGTTTCAGGATTTTAACTGTGAAATTTCCGATGTTTAATCGTTGATTTACAGGCGCATTTGAAATTTCTTCTGAGAGGATTTTTGATACTTTATTCTGCCAGGCGGAATCGTGAAAGGTTGATGAACTCAGATTCGATTTCAGGATGGTAATCTTCGTTCAAATTTCCACTTCCGTTGGTTTTTATTGCATTATTTTGACGATTAACCTCAATTTTCTCTTTGCCAGGTACATCTGAGAAATTTGAGATCAGTTTCCTGGATAAAACGATCGGAATCGGATGCAGAAACCTAGTTGAGCCGGTGATTTGTTCTCGTTCCACCGTGAGCTGTATTCGCTGCGTTTGAAGACTGTATCAGCGCAATTTTTGCGTATTCTTCGTATTTGAGAGGATAATCTGAACGTTTGGCCTAAAAATTAAGGTAATTAATTCTTCATTCGGAGAAGATCAGAAAATAAGCGTTGAATTTGCAACGTTACATATGATAATTTTTCTCGTTTCTGTAATTTCAGATTCAAATTCGGTTTTATTGCAGCGATTTATCGGAAAATCTGAAAGCGAGAAGGAAAATCCAGCTCGTCTCTGCAGAAGAAACTGTAGAATTCCGCATCGGCAGGTACTGCAGTAGATTTTTGTTTTAAATTTTATATTAATCTATTTTCAGTTTTTCATCGTTCAACCCAATTTTCCCCCAATCTGAATTATTTCTGGTGTATTTTTTCTATTTGTTTATTGTGTTCTACTTTTTGCTGAAAACTTAACTAGAGTTTATCTAACAGAGCACAAACGTCCGTTAATCCCGATTTGACGGTCGTTCCACTTTTGACGGTGCATAAAAAAAGGGGAGATGGAGAGGAAGAATACTCATTCCACCAATAGAGACGGGTTGTTACCGCCCGTGTCCACGTCAGCTGCAACGACGTCGTCTGATTTCGGGTTGCAGTGGGGGAACCGGAAAAGGCTACGCTGCTTTAAGGTCCACACGAAGGACCACGTCATTAATAATGACGACCCGACCCGCTCCGGAGCGGTTCATCGGGCAACGACCCGAGTAGATAGTCGGGTAGTTAGGTCGCGGGTGGTTAGATCGGTTCTTAATTGTGATGCTAGTAAGGATCCGAACCCGAATCAGCAGAACAATAATAATGTTGTTAGGAGCAGCGGTGGTGGTAGTAGTTATCTGAACCTTCGTCGGCGTCCGGCTTCTCCATCTCATCGGACTTTGAGGTAAGGTGTTTTCTCTCTCTCTCTCTTAAATCGTTTTATTAATGTTTGGATTATGTGAGTGGCACGTGGGATAAGATTTTAGCTAAAATAAAATAAAATAAGAAGCTCAAGTGAATGTGATTTCTTTGAGGTGAAAATGGGGATGTTTCGAATGCTATTGAGAAAAATATTTAAGATTTTAATTAATTTTGTCAACTTTAATGATCTGAAAATGTTGTGGAATAGAGATGTGTGTGTGTGTGTGTGTGTGTGAGTTTTCTCTTATTTGGTTTTTCTTTTCATCCCTATTTTTTTATTGAGAAGGGTCGTTTCTTGGGCATCCAATTGCTTCACCTTGCCGAGGGGCGAAGCTTTCTATGAATTAAAATGTTAATTTCCTTATTACCTTTAGGGATGACAATTTGGCAAGCCCCATTGGGTATCTGTCGCCCGGAAAAAATATGGGGCGGGTATGGGAATTAATTCGAAATTTTAAATCGGGTACGGGGACGACTATTACCCGCCCCCGTGATTGTAATTCATTTTAATATATATATGTTTAATTGTTCAATTATTTTGAATTGATTTTTCATTTAATCTTATTTTCATTAAATTTGATTAAATTTTTATTATTTTAAGCTTGTTTTCACAAAGAATGATTTGAAAAATATAAATATACATGTATAAATTTTTGGGGGATTTTGGTGGGACGGGTACCCGCATAATGTTCATGGCATGGGGATAGAAATACCCGATGGGAATTTTACGGGAATGGGGATTTTGAGACGGGGCGAGGACGGGGATTGCGAAACCCGCCGCCCCATTCGCATCCCTAATTACTTTTGGCATTTCCGGGTAGGTGGGCTTTTCTTTAGGCATTTTGTTGATCTTACGATTTGATTTCTTTTGATCTAACTTTTGCCCCCACAAAATTTTATTTTCTTGCGTTTATTTGATTTTCTTTTGACATATAATATATTTTATTTTATTGGGTCCTAAGAGAGCTGTCCAATTTGCATTATCTATTTGTTTGTTCCACATCATATAATTGTATTTTACCCTCCTTTATTGAGAGAGAGAGAGAGAGAGAGAGAGAGAGAGAGAGAGAGAGAGAGAGAGAGTAGGTGGGTGGGTGGGCCTATTTTCTATATTATTTACATTGACAACCAAAAAAATGCTTATCTATTTTTTTAATCAGTTTATTGCGTAATTTTATAGTTAATGTTAATTTCAACAAATTAAATTGACTATTTTAAGTTTTTGTGGTGGCTAATATTCCATCACTCATCAAACCTCCCTTTATTTTAAGATTGGATGGGCGATAGTAATTTTGGGGGACTTGGGAATGTGGGCCACCAATTTGTCCTCAACCCCTTTCCTTTCCCATGAATTGTTATTGTTTTAGATACACATCTCATTTGTATATTTATGATTAGGACACGTTAGCTTTATATACACACATACACACAGTTTTCTCCATATTTAGTGTTTCTTTTTCTAAGCTGTAGTTGCACACGTTAGGTTTAAAATACACACACACACACACACACACACAAACACACAGTTGTCAAATATCCTGACCTATTAGAAATAAAAACAGACTGGATTTATTAGAACCACATTTCTCTCCCCTACTAACAACTCCATTTTTCTACGCAAACACCACTCGCCCATCCGGTGATCCAAAAGTTCAAGGGTAATCCAGTAATTTCACTTGATAATCCCTTTTTTTTTTTGCCTGTGTTCTTTTTATTTATTTATTTATTTTTAAATAATTACATGATAATCTTTTACTATTGTAATTTTATTTATTTTCTGTTGTCCATTTTATTTGTTCATATTTAAATAGTTCTGTATTTTGAAATGTTGGATGTGATGTGATGCAGCAGATATTCTGATTGCTTTTGTTTGTTGTGTGTATTTGTCATTAAATCTTGTAGGAATCCAGAGAGTTCAATTGGTATGAAAGGAAATAGTAATGGAGTGGTGAGGCGTCTGACCTCTCCGGATAGAGGTGATAGGAAACCCACTGCTACAGCTGGTAATATTAATATTAATAATAATAATAATAACAAGACCAACAATAGTAATGACAACCACCACGGCAGCGGCGGCGGAAGCGGTGGTTCTGGGTCGTCGGAGATAGCCCGAGAGGGGTCGTCATCCGGCGGAGAAACAATCGCCGCCGTGTGGCCGCCGAAGTTTGTGATAGCCTTGACTAACAAAGAAAAAGAAGAGGATTTCATGGCAATTAAAGGGTCGAAACTTCCTCAAAGACCCAAAAAGCGAGCCAAGTTTGTTCAACGCACACTCAATGTAAGTTCCTTTTTTTCTTCTCTTTCCAGTTCTCCTTAATTCCTCTTTAAGTTAATGCGTATCTAATCAGCACCTACTAATCATATATTTAATTAAATGAGATTAAGGAATAACCTACTACAAATTAAAATAGCATAAATTGAATATTTCCTGTCATAATATGTTTTATTTCTCTTTTTGCTTTTGGCTTTTTATACATGCATATTTCGTCCATGATTTCAAGATATTATTTATTATTAAAAAAAATTTATCTCAATATTTATTTAATACGAAAACCCATTGCATAGGCAACTTTTATGAGCCTCCACTTGTGGAGAAATTTCAATAATGGAGTGATATTTAATAAAAGTGGAATTAAAGTAAAAGTTGGAAAACTATTATATGTGAAGCCATGTGGTGGGGGCTGCGATGTTAATAGATCCGACTTACACGTGTCCATTTGGTGTAACTGGACCCGGTTGACAGGCTATTTATGAATTTATTTTCTATTAATGAAATAATTTATTATATGTTTAGTATGGAAGTATATCACAAAATATATATATTTTCGAATAAAAAAAGATGATTCGATATTGCATTTTCTGAAGCGAATAATTATGGCAGGAATAAGTATATATCGGTTTTATCTATCCTACACCCGGTGAAGGTTACACCGGGTGATTTTTCACCGTTGATCTACACACACCAATGTGGGTGTGTGTGTGTTTGTGTGTATATTAATGGTAAAGATCTACCCGGTGTATTTCACCCGGTGTAGGATCTCAAAAGCCGTATATATCCTCCTGTTTCTTATTTTTGTTAGTGGAGGGCACATGCTTATCATCATAAACAAGACAGACGACACCACATTTGTTTAGGTTTCTGTTGGGGTCATAATCATATATATAGTGGGTGGGGGATCATTGAGCTGCTTTACGAAATCAATAAACTTTAATTTACAAAAATCAATAATATAATACATGGAAACAAATATATTGTATACATAAAATAAATAAATCAATTTAGTGATTTTGATTATTGTACATTTACAGCTGGTAAGTCCGGGTGCATGGCTATGTGATTTGACACTTGAACGTTACGAGGTCCGAGAGAAGAAGGTTACCAAGAAGGTACTAAGTCCATTTTTCTTTGGGATATACTATTTTCTTATGTAATAATTATATTATTAATAATAATAATAATAATAATAATAATAATAATAATAATAATAATAATAATAATAATAATAGGTTTTTTTTTTTATTTTTTTCACAATATAAAATTTTGGCCTTAATTTTTTTTCTCAGAGACCAAGAGGGTTGAAGGCTATGGGAAATATGGAATCAGACTCGGAATAGGAGGAATATTGTTAGGAAAACAGCCAAAAGTGTGTAAATTGAAAGAGAGAAGAAAAAGAGAGGTTGAAAATTTCATGGAAGTTGGAGCCTTGAGTGTTGGGTTTTATAGATGCTGCACCCGGTCATTTTGAACCATTGATCTCTACAACAACACACATACTATGTGCATGTGCTTAGTGGGTTATTATTAATATAGATCAACTGTTCAAAATCGCCCAGTGTGTTACACCAGGTGTAGCATCGTATACACCCTTTGATTATATCGTATCAGGGACTTTACAATATAATATTTTGTGCGGGTGTATGCTGTGTGTGTATTGCGCCCAATTTGGATGAAACAATTGAATAACTTGATAAAATACACACCACTTCAAACTACCTAAATAAGTTGGGCTTCAATACACACACACACACAAACACATAGAATACACGCACTAGTTAATACACTTCTCATGCAAACATACAAGCACAAACGCTGCGCGAACACACACATCACGCATTACATTGTGTGAGTGTGCTTAGTGTTAATGTGTGCAATGTGTGTGCGCATGCACCTAGTGGATTTGAAAGAGATACAATACAGTCCATTTGGTTTGGACCAGACCCGAAATGACGTTGCCACACCGAAAATTCCTTCTTTTTATGAAATTATTATTATACAAAGAATAATTCACAACATATATTCTTTTGACACTTACAAGAAGCTGATTGATGAAGTGATTGATCTTTTTGAACTTCTTCTACTCCTTAGTTTATAAAATCTATATCAAAACTCAAGCTAAAAAAAACCACTTCAAAAAAATCGACTAAAAGAAATTTGATCAGTTATGTATTAAACTTGATTCAATCACCCCCCTAATTTATATAATTAACATAAATGTACAAGAATGTGTGCAGCAGTACATATATGCAGAACAAGATTGCAAGCCGAACAAGACGCAATGTACCTAAATTCGAGTTACTATACATTTCAAACAATATGCAAGATCAAAGATGGTCGTCAAATAAAGTAACACGCATGCATTGCAAGTCGAGAATCGAGATAACACAGATCTATATATTTCGACTGCGCATAAGGCGGAGAATATCACCCATTGGAAGTTCGCAATAACAGGTATGAAAATTAATCTTTAGAAAATTCAGTTTGGATATAATATATTTTTCTCTGAACCACAAAAGGTTCAGAATTACTGCTAAACTATGTATTTTTTTTTTAATTTAAATTGCGAACTAATGAAAAGTAGAAATAAGAGAAATAAACAAACAATTCAAACCATAATATAATAGAAGAAGGAACCCCATAATATAATCAAAATGAACATGAAATTGTGAAATAAGTACAAAACGGTAGATAAAATAAATGTATCTATCCCAACTCAAATGCCCTAAAAATAAAATTTCAACACAAAACACACACGAAAATCAAACACAAAATCCAACTCCATAAAACACCTAAAAATACCCGCATCCTATACACACACACTCCCACGTGGAACCCTAGGAATCTCAGATCCTGAGCGCAGATCCGAAGACGAAGGAAACCACGGCGAAGGCACAACCGACGGCGAACGACGGTGATGCAACTCCGGCGGAGGATGCAGGTGCCGGCGCCGGCGCCTCCTGCGCGGCCGCACTTCCGATGAGCGCGAGCACCGCCACTATCGCCGCCGCAAAAAGCACAGATCTGGACTGAGACACCGCCATTGCTGCTTTCTGAACTCGGAGTGAGTTTTTCAAGTGAGTGTGAGAGAATGAAGTGGGTGAAGCTAATGGCAGAGCTAAGGGTTAAGAGACTGTGTGAGTGAGGATTTATATACAATAATACAAAGAGAGTTTACGGGCAGATGCTAGGTTGTACGGGCAGCTGCCCGAATATTATGAATATAAACAGACTGGCGAGTGGGGGAGTAATATACAGCTGGATTGATACGACAGCGTATCAGTGGGGCGTTACTAAATCAGTAATTTTTGAGTTTCCGGAATATAATAATGTGAGTGATTTAAGGAATGATTAGCAGAACGGAAAAGAAAACGCCTTTCCAGCTGTTGGTATCCGTTGGGTTGGGTGCGGTTATTCGGCTCCGGATTACGTGCAGTTGACGAATCAGGACTCGACACGTCAACTGGACGAATGAAAAACATGGGTCAAACTTGAGGTGTAAAGACATGTTACTTTTTTGGTTTTTTGAGCAGGACATGTTCTCAACTCTCGAGAACCTTCTATTGTGATGAGTGTGGCACATGGTTGTAAACCATGTCTTTATTCTATTTCTATTTGTTGTGAAATGTCCATTTCCAATTTCAAATTTAAAAAAAAAAAAATCAGAAGAGTTAAAGGTTGTGTGACGGAGAAAAATCGGGCATGCTGGCGAATAAGTGAAATCAGACGTATCGAATTGGAATCGGAGTTGGCACTTTCGGATACATTCTGATTTTTTGGAACTGAAAAACTAATTACAATTATGTCCCGAAAATATCGAAGAATTCGGGGATCGAAGTTTCGGAAATTGGAATTAAATAACTTCCAGAATCGGATAATTTCGGATTTGAATCGACAGATATCAGAAGAAGAAAAAAAATTGGATCCCGAATTTTTTCGGAATAAAACGGACTGGAAATCAGAATCTTATAAATACCACAATTCCAATAAAAAAAATTGGAATTCAGAATTTGAAATGAGAAAAAATATTGTTCGAAAATTGAAAATTTTGTTCCAATTTCAAAATCAGACGAGAGGAAATAATTCTCTTGATCCAGAAACCAAATTTAGAGACTTACAGATTAGAACACAACCTCTGCAGTCGAATAACAGTAGAGGGACCAATAATAAAAACTACATAAATATTAGTATACTTTATGATAAACAGTTCTATTGTCCATAATAAGACCCGAACGGCTACTTCTTATAGAGACTCTCATTTTCAAAAAATAAAAATAAAAAAAATTGTTGCAAAATTTTTATGAGTAGAGACAAACATTTCCATCCTATATATAATCTATACGGAGTAATAGGCAAGCACTACTCAAATATGCGAAGCTCTAAAAAAAACGGGATACACTCAATGAATAAATAGTTGAGAGAGAGAAAGATGAGGACTAACCCTTTGAGCAAGATCAGTCTGATTCAAGCTGTGACACAAATCTCTTTCCGGGTGACCTTTCCACGTTTGATCTGCACAAATGCAACAAAATAAGTAGAAGCAAAAAGTAGATCACTGAGATATTTACACCAGATTATCGATCGGAAACAAGTTGGCTTTATTCATAGTTACCAGAGGAGCCTGTCCTGTTTTTTTATATGCTCAAGAAGATAACAATTGAGCATATAAACCCCTTTTGATATATGGTCAGAAACAACATCTGATTTAAATACGTCCAAAAAACTCAGTTCTTATGAAATATTCCTAGCCAGGAATATATGGTATGCAACAGTGAATTAAAATTTGATGAACGAACCAAATTGAAATCCCAAATAGGAGAGAGTAAACAAAACATGAGTTGAACCGAAGAAATAGATGAGGCCGGTCATACCCATTTTACGAAGCCGTGAATTTCAAATGGCATTTAATTCAGAAAATAGAATTAAAGAAGTGCCGAATCATGAAGAAAGAAACACGAAAAGTGCAAAGAAAGAGCCGAAATGCTGGTAACAAGACACACTCATAAAAAACAAGAAACAATAATCGAATATCTTAGATTTAAGCAAATTTTAACTCACTTAAAACAAAACCACATTGGATAATCAATATGTTGATACAAAAACAAAATGCTGCTTCAGAGAAAAAATGCACCTCCACTCACGGAAAACAATAACTAAATCCAATACGTATGGGTTCAGAAAATGAAGCGACAAAATCAAACATCAGAAGAAACATAGAGAGTCATTTGGAGTATAATTACTACAATAAAATATACAATCACTTCCGATGCCGCTTCAATGCAGTAAAATCTCATCCACCAAATCTCGCCAAAACTAACAAATTCAGTGATGGGATCTGATCCCAATCCAATTAATGAAATCAACAGTCATATAGTTCAATTCCATAAAATCCAAACAAGTTGAACTAATTACGAAATAATTCTACGAGTCCTAGAGTATACAAAAATGGTTGTAAGGTCCAACTCTCCATTCAAAAACTAAATATACCTTCATTTTAATATTATTTTATCTCCTGCATTTGCTGACTTGAGATCTAGAGGGGCATTCCCGGGTACATTTATAAGGACCGATAAACGATGATGATTAGCTGACGAGGAGAATTCTCTAATACCCTCAACAAGGTTCGAAGAAAAATGAATTCATCCAAACCACATCAGTCACCATACATAATTCAAAACCGAGGCCAAAACATAGAGAGTCGGTATGTTCTTAAAACGCCCTTTTCGGGAAAAAAAACCCTCAAGTGAACAGAAACGTAGAAACCGAAATAGAGAAAACGTACTGATACACCATATTCTCCATCAGAATACAATGACAAGAACATCGACTTACAACACACGAAAACTCGTTGAAATTTGAATAAGCAATATTGAACATTTTTCAACTATGTGTTAAGATTTACAATCATGGAATTTGGGGAACCGCCATTAACGGCTTAGAGAGGATGAAGAAGAACAGATATTTTATTCTGATTGTGGAGAAAAGTTTTACAAGTGAATTGAATTCACGTCATATGTGATGTGTAATATATATAGCTATAAAGACTAACAACTAACTTAAAACTTAAAAGAGAAAGGCGTGTTTTACATAAACACGTCTTCTGTAAAACAATAAAAATAAAATAAAATAAAATATATATAAAAAGAGGAAAAATCTAATATGCTAATATCCCCCCCTCAAGGTGGAGCATAAATGTCTTTAAGCTCCATCTTGGATAGAAGATAAGAGAAAGCGGGCACAGGTAGGGCCTTTGTAAATATATCTGCCAGCTGATCTCTGCTAGGTACAGGCATCAAACGAAGTAAGCCTTTGTCAACCCATTGTCGAACAAAATGGCAATCGATTTCGATATGCTTAGTCCTTTCGTGGAAGGTGGGATTTGTGGCAATATGAACGGCAGCCAAATTGTCACAAAATAAAAGAATAGAAGGCGGCTGGAACTGAAAATCTTGAAGTAACTGCTTGATCCATACCAACTCACTAGACACCACCGCCAAAGCTCTGTATTCTGCCTCAGCTGAGGATCGGGCTACGGTAGGTTGTTTCTTGGACTTCCAAGAAATTAAGGAATCACCAATGAACACACAAAAACCCGAAGTGCTCTTCCGAGTGTCTGAACAAGAACCCCAATCTGCATCTGAGAA